ATCTAGAAAAATCTATCGTCGATGTGGCTAGAAGACTTGATCAAGGGAATTATCCACTCACTCAGGTAAGTAAAAATTTCGAATAACAGATTTGGAGCTCCAGGAGGCTCCAGAAGTCGAAGTTCTCTGCTTTGAAAAAAATCTAAAAGAAAGATGTGTGTGTTGATTTACATGTTGTTATTAACACCCAGGTCGGGATTCAACTAGTTCAGATCGGAAGATCGAAAAAAGCTACAGAGTTTTTGAAAGAGCTTGATGATACGTTAGAACGTAGGTATCATATTCGGGATATAGTGGACACTACCCCATATCTTGGAGTATCGTTAAGCTCTGACGTTCTGATCAAAATAATGTTGGGAGGGATTAGTAGAAAACTAGATGCAATGCAAGTAGCTCAGTAGATTTCAAATATATTCTCAAGGTTAGAAGTGACGAGATTTACAACGATTCACAATCGATATTTAATTATTAATCACTTTCTCATTTTTCACTACCGTTAACATTTTTTACACATAAAAAGTACATCTTCATATTTGAGAATCGAAAAATTTCAATCTTCATTATTCCATGCATCATCCCAACCAAGAGCGGTTCGATCCCAATCTTCTCTTTCCGGCTGACCACACGTAGTCCACCCCATATAATCCATCAGCATACCCGCAGCCCTCGCGAAAATCGATCCATCAACTTTCGCGATATCAGGGAAGGTCTCCTCCTCCTTAGACGCATTTCCTACGTGGCCTTTAAACGCTCCAATGATATTTCCAGGTGCATCACCATATTCCCTGGCTGCAAGGACTAAAGTCCGCATGGTCTTGAGTAAGTGGGAATCACTAGAATACAACGAAGCCTCAATTAGAGCCGGCCAAGGATTGTATTCGTCATCGTTGAGAGGACTTCCAATACCCCCTTGGCTCGTTTTGTATGGAGAGCCAGATACGTAAGGCGGACGAGGCTTGTCCGATACTTCCATGAGCAGCTGGGGTTTGATGATGGGTCGTCCTCTGGCAAGCGTAATGAGCAACACACCCGGTAAAAACGCTTTGACAATAGTAGCTTTATCAGCCGGGTTTTCCAAGACATTGACGAAAGACCGAAGGAACAGCGAAGATGTGACGAGATGCATGAGGAAGAAATCAAGACGTGTCTTTCGTCCTGGTTTTCCGGTCGCGAACATAAGAAGGACTGAAGCCCAAACAAGTTCTCCAACTTTAGACATCATTTCTTCGCTGTTTTCGAGATTTCCGTCAACATGGAATTTTGAACACAAATCGCGGATTTCTTCGGACTTTCCGTCTTTCAAAGCATCTCTGAGACGAGCGTTGAATAGAGCGTTTGGGTCGTATGGCAAAGGTGGTTGTAAAGTAGGAGAATTGTTTACGAGCTCCAGGATTTCGAGGACAGACAATCCAGGGGAGTCAGAGCGAGTGGAGGAGTTGTCTTTGAGATCGAACAACTCGGGGGAAATAGAAGTGTGGACGGCAGTCATTGCAAGTCCTGTATAACCGAGTTGGACATGACTAATAGACCAAAGATTGCAAGCTAGAGCGAACCTGTAGAGATTAATGCATCATTTCCGAACTCCAGCCCATGCTACGGAAAAGATGATAATGTGATCAGATATTATGCATGAAGAAAACTGGTGAGACATACCCCAACTTGGATAAAGGGATGTAAACTAAGAGATAGAAGATTATAAATAAAACAGCGCGCGAAACACAGACTAACTCACGCTCCGCTCATAAGCCGAGCAAGCATCGCTTTGCCTTTCTCATTGGCTTCGGGAGAGAAAACAAACTTTTCCAGAGTTTTGACTACGCCGGCAGAAGCGATTTGTTGGTCGAAGAATGTGAGAAAGCCGTTATAAGCACTATAGATGTCCTGGTAGGTTACACGATAGTATAATCGGTTACCGAAGACGGAACTCACTGCTGGTTTCCAAGATACTGCGGCCAATTCTCCTCGGTGACTATCATTTCCTTGTCTTTCTCCTCAAGGATGATAGGACGTTGAACACGAGCTTCCTCGTCGTAGATTTTTTGCAATATAGCAGGAGGTGCTCCTAGATCATAAGCAGCGAGTATGCTATCGAAGATCAGTGTACAATATTTCAGTCAAATATAATATAATACACACTGGTGACTTAGATGATTGTGAAACCCAGCTTGGTTGAATTGACAATGATGATCTTGAGCATCCCGCAATAACAGAGCCTCGGCTAAAGGCTTGGATGCCATAGAAGCCCTAGGCAAATTAAGGACACCATTACGAAGGAGAAGATGAGAGACAGGAGACATAATAACGGTGGATGAGTGGTAATGTGAGCATTTCGACCTTGTATTAGAAAAAGGATATAAGAACTGGTGACATCGGAAGAAAGGAAGTCCCCATTTGACATAAAAACGATTTGTCATCGTTAGAGAATCACCGACTGCATCAGCTAAGCTCTTGGACTGCCAGCTTTATTCGTGTATACTGAGAGCCGACATGCCTTTGGAGTGTGAACAAATAAATGTGTATATGTGCTGACTTCGTTCATTAGATTCTTGTGCTGACAATCCAATTTATCCAGGATATGACTACCAATCAATGAACATCCGCTTGACTGTGGAGAATATTGTACAATTGACATATCATAGACTGCAGCTGCCCATGTCACAATCTTACAATCTTGGTAGACATTTCATGCTTCTATCGGAGCCGTTCTGCAGATTTTTCGCACATCAGCTATACGTATAAAGCTCTGGAACTGCTCCAATCAGCTGTATGTCATTATACAGAGCGCGAGCTTCTTGTGGCCCATGTAAAGAAATAAGACTATACTACGCCAATATGTGAGGTTTTTTTTTTTTTTGTCTAAACCGCAGCATCAGGATGTTCCCATCAAAGTATCAACCGCGATAAACTGTATTAATATGTTTTTGACCTACGAAAAATGTTCACACAGTAACCTCGTCTTGTCACTTAACCACGACGACGCGTTTGAGGCTACGGCGCACAACTGGCATGCGTTTGCCAATAGCATGATGTGAGTATTGTTATGTACTGTGGATGCCTTGCGCAACTAAAACTTGCTATTCCTTCTAGATCCTTCTAGATCTCTTAGGATTAAAAGTTGCTCCTCATGTCTTTGTCCTATCATACCTTTTCTGAATCAAAGATAAAAGCTGCGCATGGACGCCGCGAACTCATCCGTATCCCTAACATCGCTGACCATTTCCACACGAACGAACCACCCGATGATCCTGATGCTCAGTTATTCGCCAAGACTCTGAGCAATGCTATAGACCGAGAATCTTTCCTGCAGGAAGAGATCCGGTACTTGGAGACTACGCTATACCAACGTATTGATGAACTATCGCGAGTTCAGCAGATTATACGTGAATACAAGCCCGTTCTATCATCTGTTCGTCGATTGCCTCGTGAACTTCTTATGGAAATCTTCTTTCAAGTGTTGGGTAGCGTGGATCCTGAGGACGTTCTGGACTTTGACCGTGGATTATGGCCTCTCACACATGTTTGTAGGCTTTGGAGAACCCTTATCCTTAACCATACTTCGTTCTGGACGACAGTTTCTTTACCCGGGCGGACACATTACCCTCCTTACTCTATACACATCCTGTCGCTTTTCCTAGATCGATCTGGTTCACAGCCTATTTTCGTCGATTTTACCTGTCGAGACGTTGCGAAGCTACCAGAAACACTATTCTCTGTGCTCTTCGCTCAATCATATCGTTGGGAAACGTGCAAATTAAGGATCCCCGTATTCCTAACCGATCGTCTATCCCCCGGCGCCATCGAACGCACGCAGCTTTTGCGCCATCTAGATCTCAACCTGGATCTAGCTTATTCTTCGCCTCTCGTAAGCTCGTGTAAGAATCTCTTTGCAGGAGCACCCGCGTTACGTTCCGTGAAACTCACTGGAGTACCGCTTGCACTAGACACTCTAGGACTTCGTTGGTCATATCTGACACATTATGATGTGACCCAGGACTTCCCCGACAAACATCTTGCGATTCTACGCCTTGCGACTGGGCTAGTAGAATGCACTATAGATTGTTCTCAACCGTGGCGTCAGCAGTTACCAGGCGCTGCTGCCATAGTGACTTTGCGAAAATTGCGGATTCTGAAGTTGAAGGGGACGGCTTCCATTTTACTGGAATATCTTGTCGCACCCGGTTTACACTCCTTGAGTGTACTCCTACCAGAGACGGGTGACTCGTTGAAGATTTTCCTCAATCGGTCTGTATCTCGGTTGCATGAGCTCGAGATCGAGGCTACTCCTATGGGAAACAACATTTTGGATGCTTTACAATATGTGTCGTGTTTGTCGAAGCTTGCCTTGAACGTCTCGATTTCTCCAGGGAGTCGACGGAAAATCGTGTTCAAAGACTTCCTCGTCGCTCTGAGATATGTTTCCAGTGGTAACAACACTACTAGTATTACAGGCTGTAAGCTTCCTCGTTTGGAAGAGCTGTTCCTCAGCGTGTACACCTCTTCGAGTGAACATTTATACGCGAATGAGCTCGCGGATATGGTGGTATCTCGGTGGAAGCTTCCGGGAAAGATACGAGAGCAGGAGCTTACGCAGTTAAAAAGGTTTACACTGGAAACGAATCGTGATTGGCTTCCTGCTTTTGATACTTTCAAGGAATTGATGCAGGAAGGCCTGCAGGCTTTCATCAATTTACATTAAGTTTGGAGGAGATATCCAATGAACCTTGGCTGTTCATAATTGTTTCGGTCAATTCTGCTGTAAGGCGAAAGAAGGTTGCCGACCACGATTCTCAATTGACTTACACACACAACTGCGTGCTATGGCTGAAGACTAAATTAGTTTTTTCTCATGAAATTGTTACTATGTACATGCTAAACAAAGAAGAATATGTTCCTCGAAAGTAATTAGCTTTCCAAGATTCCATACTATATACTATAGTAAATCTGAAAAGGTCCTCGTAAGACCATAAAAATTAAAAATTCAATTTAACAGATATTTTTACTGTCCCTGGCAGGAGTCGAGCCTGCGTCTTCACGGATTGTTACTTGTATCAGCCACAACGTGATGATCTAACCACTAATCGACGGGGACCGGTGTAAGTAATACAATAACAACAGCAGGATCTAATCGTTTCATCTTGGGTGCCATCTATAGAACATAACTGTACAACAAAAGCTAAATTCTATTTCTTTGATTTACGCTGCTTGGCTTTACTCTGATTAGACATTGAGCCTGAAGCAAGAGCAGTAGATGCAGGTGCACTAGTTTCCGAGGTAGATGCTGTTGCTACCTTCTGTGATGCTGCCTGATCCTTCAGTTGATCTTTCTTCGACGGTCGATGTAACAGTTGAATAACGAACGAAGCCACACTTCCGGATAATATGTACAAGATCCATCTCGGGACCTTGATTGTGACGTTGTAGATCTTGGTTAAGACCAGGCTGAAGTAGTGGAGGAAGTATTCACTGGAGGGGATAAACGTTCAGCCAGAGAATGAAGAAAAATTACTAGGAAGATGATGAATTTACGCACTTGCTACCACCCGGAGCGAAAGAACTATCCCATGGAGGAACTTCATTATACGTCCCGCTCGTGAGGAATTCTCTCAGAGCGCCTTCGCCGAGGCGCAACCACTGAGGCTTGATAAAACGGAGTGTTTGACCGCGGTTTTGTAGAATAACGAAGGTTGGAGCTCTGTCAAGGCGAATTGATATCATTATGGTTGAGAAGAGGAGTCAGATATCATGTAGTACATACTGCCATACACCCCACTTGGTCGTTAGATAGGTGACATTGAGATAATCGATACGACCCCAGCGCAGGTCAGGCATGTCTCCAGCAATGAGAGTTTCGTTATATGTTTCATCAAAGATCTTGTCTACAAATTGAGAAATTCCTCCTCCTTGGCTCGTTGCGCTCGCAGAGCTATATATCAAGATCACAAGGCCAAAGATAAGAGAAGACGTGTACAGTCAATGTCACAATCAAAAAAGACGTTGAGCCGACATACACAACAATCAACCACGTTCTATTCTCTTCTTCCTCCGGAGTGAGCTCTTCATTAACAACTATATCATCAAAGTTGGTGTCGGTTATCATTGGAATTCGGGTATCCCATGGATAGACGGGTTTCGACGATAAACCAGCAGCTGATGCGAGACTGGAAATATTTACGCCAACTTTGGCGAATAATGATGATACTGAAGGGGAGTCGAGGATCCCCTGTACACTGAAGGAGTCCTGCTGGCCTTGTGGGCCGCCTGATACTCCAGTTGATAATGGTGTTGAGGGCTCATTGGTGACGGCCTGTCCAGGCTTCCAGCCTTCGGAAAAGTATTGCCCATTCACGACGAAGCACAAGAAAGACAAGTAAAAACAGAAGACCTTCATGCTGACCGAAGACTTTTTTTCGGTAAGAGAAGACGGTCGTTGCTCAACAAGCGCCACGCGCGTCAAACTCTATAATTGACTACTGGTACTTTGTTACTGTGATTCTGCTACTTACAATAACCACCCCCTTCAAGCCTGGACATTAATTCCAGCTATGGCTGTGTTAACATGGATGTGGTTATTGACTTGAACAAAATCGAAAAACTCGAGGTTGACGCCTGGTCCAAAAATGAGAGCATGAGACGAGCCACCAAAGTGGAACATCCCAATCTCATCACCGGCACGGACTTTGTGATTCTCTCTGGCAGTGATTTCACAAGACGAGACTTCTACCATTCCAACACCAATGAATACGATGAATCCAATCTCTTTGTTGTCAGCTTCGATGTAGATGATGGCACGAGTGGCGGCTTCGGTGAGCCACCCCTGCGAGCGAATGATAGCACCTCTAGGATCGCCAGGTTGAAAATCTGGGTCATGCTTTTCAGCTCCATCGTCAGGCAACGCGGCATAATATGTTCCTTCGATGACTTGTACCTGGCGAACGATGCCATCCACGGGACTATGCCAGCGGTGATAGTCCTGTGGAGAAAGGAATGCTTGATATACAGTCCCGCCAATGAAGGAACGAGCGACTTCATCATCACGGCGTGCGAGCATATCATAGATAGAGTAAGGCTGACCCTTGAGCCAGAACTGGTCGTGTTCTTTGATTTCGGTCTGTTTGCGATACATGGTGGACTCGCAGGCGTTATAGATGAGCAATTTTCCAGATGAGGGGTCGGGCCTGTGGATAGGACGAGCACCAGGCTTAAACTTTCGAGTGAAAAAAGCATCCCAGGAGGCAAAGCCACGGTTGACTGCAGTAGGATTGGGACACTCGTATATCTCGTTAAAGATGCCACGCTTATTTTCGAGACTCTCTATTCCGAGAGTGCCAAACCACCCCTCGTCACTGTCGTTCAGAGTATTATTGGATGGCAGGCTTCGGAGATAGTCCCCCCAAAAATTGAGGAGGTCCTTCATAGCAACATTGAAATTCACCTTGCGAAACAGGTCATACCCTGCACTGGTATTACTGAAGAGGTCGAGTAGGAGATACAAAGGGACACCAATAGGCTCGCCGGTAAGTTCACCGTTATCGTCTCTATTCACTTGGAATTTCGGAGCCGCGACAGTGATTACATCCATGCAGTTGAGCAACTCATCTAATGTCTTGATCTGCAATACATATCGTGCATTGAGCATCCAGGCCACAAAAGTGATGAAAATATGACATTACCTTGCTCAGAGGAGAAACTTGTAAAAAGGTCTGATTGAACAAGTCAACCAATTCAGAATCGGCATTGATAGCATTCTGGAATTTCTGAACTGCCGGGTTATGAGGCACTGTAGTGTCGATGGCGCGCAAGAGGTCATCGAAGAACGCCTCGTAGACCGCACGATTAGCGGGAATCCATCCACCGTAGCGGGTTAGGACTGTTTGCTTAGAGCGCAGAGGGCGTTGATATTGCGAAGGCATTGTCCTGGATCGAAATCAGTACATGCGCTCAAAGCACGGAATATGTTCTGGGGAGTTGACAAGTTCTTGTTGGCAATGCGAAGACTACGGTCCCTTTTATGAGGGAAACGAAGTGGAGTGAAGATTTATTTGGACAGTACGAAATTAACACTATTTTCGAGTGCATGAAGATATTCCCGTGATCGGTATAGAATTACTTGGTACTGCCCTTGAGGTCTTTAGAATTCTACTTCGTAAGAAGTAGCTTCTATACTCCCATGCCAGTGGAACCTCGTGAAAGGTATGAACGACAGCACGAATGAGAGCTTTATGCGATGATAATACGCAGAATGCGGTACAGAAAATCGGTTTCGATAACGGATAGGTGGCCTGAGTTTGGGGTTGGAGAATAAGGCTCGAGCATATGTGGTAAGGACGAAGCATTATACTCACAAACAATATGATCTTTGGTGTTCAAGTCGTTGTCATACTAGTGAGTTCATAATGGACAACACTCTTCCGGAGTACCAATTCTAGTCAACGTTCACGAAATTCCCTCCAAAGAACATACTCACAAGATGGTCAGAATCTTGATTCCAATTTCTAGATTTGCAGTGTACTAAATTATGCAACGCCACAATCCTGGTGCAATACCTAACTCTCTCTACTAAAGGAGCGCAGTGTCAGTTCGGACTGACATATAGCTTGCAGCAGGTGAACTTAATTCATACCTCTTTTCACATATGCACGAAGGTGGTGCTCGATTACAGCACCAGATAATGGTTGGCTCAATTGGCTCAAATTCGTGAGTGCTTGTTCCTTCATTGAGGTCGATAGAACATTCAGAAATTCTTCTTTAGACGTCATGCCATAACCGTACAGGGACTCAATGCAAGATACTTGACCTGACCTGACCTGAGGAGCCGTATAATCTCCAACCTGGCTCCAACCGTTGAATGACATTCAGTTGCCTGTCTGGATATCCACCGTTGACAAGGATCGTAGTCGATAAATTCTATTGAGGAGGATACACAACGTTCGGAGATTTGAGATGAAATCGGCAAATCGAGTTAGAGTTGACGAAGTTCTTGTCTTTTTGAAGAGTTATTGTCCGTTTGCATAACCCAACAAGACGAGTAAGTGGACTGAGAGTCAGAAGACCTTCATGGGTGACAACGGTAGAAACAGCAAAATAATATAATAAGCGCTGTTCGCGCGTCAAAAATATATTTATCTTTTCTTCTAATTGTCATATTATTGTTATCTTTTCAGCATCTTTGACCATGGTTTTACCAGCTTTGACCTGGATGCCAAGTCCAAATGTCTCCTTTACGATGTATAAAAGCTGGAAGGATATATGGAGAAGGAAGAAATTTCTTGCGCGCTAGTACTACTACTGCAACGAAGAAAATACGGAAGAGAACAACAGCCTTGAAGTAGGTTTTTTTCGTCTCTTTATGATTCAACGTAGATCCAAGTTAATGGTCTTCTTAAATCTTAGCTCCAATGGATCATCTATACTCATATGCTGACATGGTGGACGTACAAGCTACTCCGATTCCTGATATTAGTATTACACTTAGAAAGCTACGCTACTTATCCATGGAGGACCTTGACATCGACAGAGGTATCCCCGACGACGAAACGCTGGATTTACCTTCGAGCCCCCATTGCAAATTTCCGGTATTCCACTCTCATCTGGACTTCATACTACCTTCATTATTCGATCGTCTACCGACAGAGATGATCGTGATGGTTTTCTCTTTCCTCGATATTTCCCAAGCAAACCTTCTAGACGTGAACGACGGTCCGTGGGTTCTTACTCAAGTATGTAGAAGATGGAGGGACATCGTCGTCCACTGCCCTTTATTCTGGACGCATGCCAACCTCGACTTGTCGTGTTGGCATTTCACTCGAACTTGGCCCAGTTCTGCGGATTTGTTGGTCTCAACTTTCCTCGAAAGATCCAAAGAGCTTCCTTTAAACGTCCAAATACACTGGTCCGACATTGAAGGTGCTCCGAATCACATTCTGAATGCCGTGGAACACATCTTGAACACGTCTTATCGCTGGAAAATAGCCATTTTGGATCTACACTTTACTGTGTATTATGAGCTTTCATCTATGATCAGGGCCAGACTTCCTCAGTTGGAAGGGTTGATGCTCATGTTCAACTTATCACCCAAGACCTCGAGGAACA